CAGCAAGTGGAGGGAGGGAAGGCACTGCCAGAGGCAGGCGGCCACGACATGAGTGCCCGGCGAGTGCCAGGCATGGACTCCTGTGCAGCTCTGAATGGAGCTCCGGGCCTGGCTGCCGAGGACCCCACCTGAATTCTAGACATCACAGCTCTGGTGATCCCAGGCTCACCGCCCACCCTGGCAGCTTTTCCTGCAGGATAAAAAGGGGGCTATCAAGTGTACATTAAACACACAAGCTCCAGAACAAGTAGTGAGACATGCATACATAACTAACAAATCTCGCAAGCCAAAATGGAAACCCCAAAGGCCAAATGAGCTTCCCAAGGCTGTCATTGGTTCCATGGTCAGCTCCAAACCAGCTCACAGCAGGGACACTTTCCAAGCCACACAGTGGCCAAGTGGCTTCAACAGACACACCAGAACTCACCTTCCCAGTGCTGGGAAGGTGCCCCCCGACCATGAAGGTCAGACCAGAGCTGCTGCGTCCCCCGCAGCCCATCCTCGCTCCTGGACTGGCCCCTACACCCCAGGCAAGCCTGCCTCCCATACACTGCTCACAGCAGGCCTGCCGTTTAACCCTGCATTGACTGTTAATTGGGTCCTTTTGGTGGAAAGAGATGGTCCCTGCAGAGCTGCAAGGACATGGGGTGTGGGGGTTGGTCTCAGAATGGCAGTGGCGCCTGGCTGTGCCACAGGAGCGATGGAGACACTACGAAATCAGCCGCAGGGCATGACAGTACCTTTCCTGAGGTGCTGTCTCCTGAGGGAGTTGATGAGGGAGGACTTGCCCACGTTGGGAACCCCAATCACCATGATGCAGTATTCCAGGCACTGTGGAAGTAGAAGGGCAGTGTCAGGCCCACACTGGGCCCTGGAGCCTCAGACCCCAGCCTGACCTGGGCCCTGGAACCCACAGCTCAGGACAATCCAGGGGAAAAGGAAGGTCATGGCAGAAGCCCTGCTAACTTGGTGGGGGTGGCCCCAGCCCGTTCCACTGCAGAAGAGAACCAGAGGACAGAGGCAGGGCCTCCAGCTGAGGCAGCACTCCTTCCCCTCTGTGCTTGCAGCGGCATGCTCAGAAGCCAGGAAGGAGGACTCAGTGACCCACCCCATGCCCACTTCCCAGCTCATGCTCCACCAACCAACCTCTGCTCGGTGGTAGCGGTAACTGCTCCCAATGAGTTCAGTGACCATCGGGATGATCTGCAACAGACCAAGTACACATGGAACCATTCCTGCCACCTCAGAACAGCAGAGTGTGGACTCCAGTGTCTCCCTTTACAATCTTTTTTTTTTTTTTTCCTTTTTGTCTTTTTTCGTGTCCGGCAACGGATCGCA